AGAGGGGCTGTGTTGGTGGCATTTGGCTCTGTTTGCTCATGTGTGTCCATGTGTGAGGGAGGGGGGAAATTTGACATAGGGGAAACAGAGAAGTGCCAGTGTGAAGAGGGGTGTTCCCGAGTGCGCGTGCGCGTGCTTCATCTTCTTCTACAACACGCAGCGTGCACGCTCATGCATGACAGCTCTGAGAGGGGACACACATGTCAGAGCCACGGAGGATGGGTGTTGGTGTGTGTGTGTGCGTGTATGTGTGTGTGTGTGAGAGAGAGAGAAGGTGCAAGCCCAGGCATGACAGCATCAAAACACGGTCCCAATACTTGTGTGTGTGTTTTAAGTGTGTGTAGCTGTGACAATACAGAAAGGGGGAAGTTGGTTTTGATCTAAAAATAAATAAATAAATCAAGTGTTGACTTATCTCTCAATCTTATGGTAACTCTAATGTTAAAAGAGCTGCTCAAAAACGAGATGTGGTCCGAGTCCGGACCTCAGCAGCCGATATCGAACCCATAAAGGGGACGTGACGGTACCAGAGAAATGCCCCACGCAGGGCAACAAGTCCCCGCAGCCTTTCTGGGTGGCTGTCACCGGTTCTCCAATTCGGCTTCCCGCCCCCCCACCGCCGCCGTGGCCGCCGTCAGTAGTTGCCGCAGTAACGGCTCTCGCGCCTGCCCTCGCGCCCGTCTGGGGGAACTTTTGCAGCACCCTCCGCGCGCACGGAGCAGAGGGGCTCAGCCCGGCGAACAACCCCCGCGAAACTTTTCCACGCGGACGAGAAGACTCGAAATAAAAACGTGTTAAACGAACGCTTACCGTAGACGGAGCTCCGTCCAGAGAGCGGTGTTCATCAGCTGACCGCCGGTGGAAAGTGGCTGAATTCGCTCACTGACGGCTTGTTGTTGTTGTTTGTTTCTTTTTTTTTTCTTCTTCTTCTTTTTTTTTCACACCTCCCGGCGCTTCGTGGAGGCGAAGTGGCGCGCGGGGAGCTCACGAGCGGCGAGGCGACTCTTTGCGCGCATTTCAGGGGACGGGAGTGAAGGGGGGAGCCTCTCTTTCTGGGGGTGCTCCGCTGTGTATCCGCTCCGCCAGACTGTAGCACAGGACGCCGGTGGGCGGAGGAGTACCACAGAGCGGCCGCGCAAAGCTTCACGGGAAATGTAGTGGAGAAGCATCAAGTCTTGCCTCTAAGTGGCTCCGATGAGTTGGAAGAACTCCTGAATAATGTTGTTGTTATCCTCAGTCAGATCCTTATCGTGGCCTTTCTATGTCTCCATAAACCGCAAATAACATGCAGTGTAAAAGCCCTGAGCCCTACGTTGAGTCTTGTTTTTTAAAGAATAGTTCTCAAACATCTCTTTCTTTCATTTTCTGTCATTTTTATTTGGCCTTGCAATAAATTTGACCCCTGAAGTCGTTCGTGTTGGTGTGTTTACATATAGCAAAGAACAAAATGAAAGTAACTTTCTTTTTTACAAGCCATCTGTTAAATTGTGTAACATTTCTGCACCAGCAAGGTCTTTTTTCCAACAGCTACTTCTAAAATCTCTTATCTCACCATAATGTGTTGACTGTCCTCACGTTGTTTTGGGGAAACTAGACATTTGTAAGCCAGAAGAAGAAGTAGTGGGTTTAAAAATATAGATATATTTTCTGTGTCTGAACTAAATAAAGAATTAGGACAGATCTAACAAAAGCCTGAAATGATATGATAGATGCATCTGCACCTTCAGTCGATCCATTTTCTGTACATTGAAGCCTCATCGGAGATAATGTGACTTGTTAAATGACCAAAAAAATGGACTTAATCTCTGTGACAAGTCGAATGGGGCGATTAATCCTTCCCAGAACCTGGACCTTAACATTAATGTAGCAGTGTGGTGTCAGCCCGACTGAGAATGGAATACAAAGTAGCCAAAGAAGAGTTTCGGGATTTCCTTTTGGGATGTCCTTCAACATGTATATGTATATATACAAAATAAGTACATAATTACTGGGAAAATATGTTATGGTAAAAATGTGTTTTGTACTAATGTGGAAAAATTATTCAGACTTCAAACAGCATTTATTTTCGCTCATTAACAGGGTCTCAATTACATTCCTCTACAAACAGCTTCTAGCAGTTTGTAGATAAGCGTGTGAGGACAATGTCTTATCCGAAACATGCGTTGTGCTTAGCTTATACTCACTTGGCCTGCAGCATGTGTGTGTGCGAACATGTAAACACGTCTCTCTAAACACAGAACAGAGTTGAGCTTTTTCCCCACTAAATAATACATTTTCTGTTGTTTAAAAAAGTTCCTTTTGTCCCAGATAGAAGAATGAATTATCTGTTTGGAAAGCTATATCTCGTTTTGGGCTGTCATTGTTTTCTGAGTATGTTTTGGTCCAGGCTGCTGCTGCTCACATTAATTTCCTAGCACTCCGCGATATTCCCTCAGGGGCCACTCTATCTCGAAAAGCCCAGTCTGTTCTGGCCGTCAGTTGATTGGTCAAAAATGACCAGGCACAAAGCATGTCATCATTTTTTGCCAAACCAGGAACTCTGAGGCTGGCAAATTGCATTTTATGTTTATCAGGAATAGGTTATTCTTTTGTTCTTTGAAATTAAATAACTCCTAGTGGTGTGGACTTGTACATGGATTAAAAATCTATTCCCAACAGAAAAAAGGAGACATATATCAGTTTTAAAAAGCCGCTGTATGAATGCTTTAATGTAAAGCTTTGCTGAGGATCTCCTCACTAATAGCAGAGACCTGCAGGGACCCTTGCAAGTTAATAGCAACGTTAGATGGTACAGATTGCCTCAAAGGACTCCAAAAGGAATGTTTTTGTTGTCCTTTTTACTTATTCATGAGTTCAATGATTTATGCGTTTCATGCTAATTTATATTTGATACGTTCCAGAGAAGCGTAAAAATACTAAATTGAATTCCGTTCTGTTCGTGCACTAAGAGAACATTTCCCAGACCTTTTTTTTGACACGAATACTTCTGGGAACACCATAAGACTTCCTGAGGCATAGACTAAGATATATGGAATAGCAAAATGACAAAGTAAAAACACATTGTGATGAGGGCGTAGGACTCAGGGGCAAGTCTTGTTTCTCCAGAAGAAAATTTACTATTTTCTATAAAATCCCAGGATAAATCTATAAAATCACAGTGCTCTAATACATCTATAAGAGTTACAGGAAACTACAGTTGGAAACCATCCATTGGAGGACCAGTGATAAGGCCATGTAGCTGCAAAGGACACAAGTTAACCATTGTCAAAACCATTGCCTCCATTAGAGAGCATTTCATAACACATCATTGTGCTCAGGCAGAGACCTTGATGGATGAAATCCCACACCGAGACAATAACTTGTTTTCCTTTTAGGTCAAACATCCCCTTGAGTCTTCATTGTTTCTGTCCACCCTCTCCCCCACTTTCTCGTTGCTGTGCACAGACTATGTTTCCTACAACTCTTTACTATGTGTGTGTATGTCGTTAGCGTGTGTGTGTGTGTGTGTGTGTGTGTGTAGGAGGGGGTTAAGGAAATGCTCCTGCCTTTCAGAAGCCTTATGTCTAAATTTAGAGGCCCCACTGTCACAGTCCCGGTCTGACTGTACGACGCTCAGGAAAGAGATTTGAGGCGTGTTGAAGTAAGGATAAATTAAGAGTGCAGGGGTGTGCTGATCTGCGAATAACACATTTGTTCTTCACACGCCCCGAAAACAGAAGCGCTATAAATACACCGGACATAGAGAGCCAAGGTCAAGTAAGTGTGAACCAAAATGAGTGAATGGAGTGATGACCATGTTGGGCTATGTGCATCCATTTAATTTGTTGGACTATTTATCTTCCTTAAACTTCATAGGTTGTTTTTAATTTAATGATGCTAATTCTGTCAATGCGCAAACACAATTATTATTCAGGGATTAAATTTGACCCAAGTGCAAACATAACCACAATTGAAATGCCTTCCTCTTTGTACTTCTTATTCCCTGACAGGACTTTTTTTTTTTTGCAAAGCCATGTTTCCATTACTCATTATGAATTTGATTATGGGATGTGCCTGTCTGACTGTCAATGTGAAGATCGCCTGCTTTTTTCAATTTAGTTCAGAAAAAACGCCCCTTCCGCCAACTCATCTTCTAACTTAATTCAGCTCCTCAGCATTAGAGATGATCACGGGGAATATGACACTTTTAGTTTGCCTCTGAGTTTGCTTTAATGCGTTTTCGTCATGTCATCGTGGACAAGATGCTGATGCCAGTAAATCAACTTGAACTTTGTCAAAATTTACGGCTTTGATTGCCATGCACCTGTGAGATTGTCATTAAACTATCGCAATTCTTATCTTCAGGATACCAACATTAAAGGAATATTATACAATTCAACAAATTATTTAGACTCAATCATTTTTCCATTGAAAAGCTCTAAAATTAACCATTGGGTAGCATGCCTCATTCGAATCTAAGCCTATGATGACTTCTAATCATCTATCGCCCTCTAGCGGCCGCTACTGGAAGATTCACTCCCCGCCGGGGTCAGAGGTCACTCCAAAAACATGGCGGCTTCCAGGAGGGTATCCGTGGTACTGAAGGCTGTGAGGAACATAACCGTTCAGTTTTGTCCGTTCGAATCCAATGTCAGGTCGACACGGTAAGAAACGCGTGTTAAATGCTGCTGTCGTCCGTTTTGTGTGACTAGTTGGTGGTTAAAAGCCGTAAATTGATGGTCAGGAGTGGACACGGTTGGTAGGATAGCAGGCACCACCGAAGAAGACTTCGGACGTAAAGGGTCGCCGTCTTGCTGTGTTATCTTACTCCTTATGTGACATGGTTTGTTTAAAATGAATGTTAATATAAGCCTGAAATGGGGCATTAATCGAGCTATATCGAAACACAACTCGGTTTAGTATTGAGTTTAATGTCAAGGTTGGGTGACAAAAATAGATTGATACATGGATTCGTAAAGGGGTGTAACATCTTTCCTTTTCTGGTAAATAAACCAATTAGATTTTTTTTTTGTAAATTAGCAGTAAATGATTTTTAGCATATAAGCATGTGCTATTGAGCCTTTATATGGCTGCAGGCTCACCAAAGAGAAGCCAAAACGGTGAAAGTTTGAATAAGACTGAATAAGACTTTTGTTGTGTACACAAAAGTCATTAGTCAAGTTTTCTGTCATCTTACACGCTTTTAACAATCAACAAGCCAGTGTTGTAGCATTTTCTGATGTGCTGTGAAGTTTGCCACCCCCTTTACTGTAACTGGACAGAGTTTACTGAGAAAAATGCTCTTTTTTGCTGTCTGTGTTGATCTGCAGGGAGTTTCTGGCAAAGGTTGCTTCAGACAAGGCCCGAGCTACCAACATGAACTGTGAGGTGATAACCACGGTGAAACATGACCGGTCCGAGCCCGTCGTGGATATAACTTACGGTAAGAATGAGCCGATGGCTTTCGTTCAGGTTTGTGTGTGTGCGTTGTGGTTTGGAAGTGGATGGAGACATTGGGGTGTTCATGGCTCCACGTTCAGTTTGGGTCTCCTGAATATTTTGAAAATTCAGATGTTGCATTTTCATATTTGGAGTATAAGGAATGAGTTTCTTTGAATGTTGGAGAAGAGTAATGTAGCAGCTGACAGATGAACCGACATGGTTTTTGTTAAAAAAGATTGACAATAATGGTAAAACCTGATGCTTTTTAACAGTTATCATACCAGCAATAACTGACGATAACCCAAGAAATACTTAGAAATGATTTAAATGTAGTAGTAAAATCAGTCTGGATTGATTTAGTCAGTCTTTTGCTTTTTGTTTGGGTCACTGGTGGTGTCCTTAATACTACAGTACAGCAGCTGGTCAATAACCAGTTCTTAGTTTTATGTTTATGCATTTAGCAAACACTTTTATTCAAAGTGACTTACAAAGTAGACACAATGTTACAGTTATACGTTTTCTACAGGAAAGTCCCGAGTCATTGGGGACAGCAAAGAGAGAGAAGGAAGTGCAGAAATAGTAGTAGAGGGGGTATAGAGGGCTGGGTAAGAGTTAGGATAAGAGGTAAGAGTTAGGGTAGGATCCTGCGGGGTTTCCTGTGATGGGTTTGCAGTCGAGCATTAAAATAGAGGAACAAATGAGTCACAGGTCAGCGGAACGCTTGCTGAGACGCTCTATTGTACGTTTTGACTTTTGCTCACAGTTAACTTTCCCTCCTCCTGTACTTCGCACACATATTGTGTATTTATGAGTCATTATCTTGTGTCTTTTTTCTGTCCACAGTAGATGGAGAGAGGCTGGTGATGAAGGGAGCAAAGCTGACCAGCAGTGAAATGCTGGCAGCTTTTCAGTCCCGCTGCGCTGCCAAGGATCGACAGACAGCTGCTGCCAAAAAGTGACCCCCCCCCCCCCCCCCGCCCCCCTCGCTTGTCCATATAAGAGTTTATTTGCATTTAAATATATTTGTATCTGTGTATATTCTCAGACATGTATTATTAAAGAAAAAAAAGACATAACTTACTCGTATACTGCTTCTGGTTTTATTTGGGGTTGGATACACATTCAAGGCTTTTGTAGCTGTCACTTTTTACAATATAAATGATAATCAGGGTGATCTCCCCATTCACTGTGCACCGTTTCTACATGCGGATGAGATCAGTTAGGATGTTAATAATCTGTGCTGATGGGGTCAGAGTGTGTCCTTGCAAAACCTGTGGATTTTCTGATGAAAGAGTCTGTCCCAGGATTTTAGGAGCCATTGTGCAAGCTGCTAACTTTGACATAGCGGGCAGTAAATATGGTTTGGCACAAAGACTCCAAGTTGACCCTCACAGAAAGGGAAAAGCTTCCACTCAGTCATAAATAAATGTTATCCCACCCTCTGAACTCCTCACCATCTGATTCGTTATTTCATAATTTGTTAAACTTTCAAACTTCATCAAATTTCTGTTATTTTTCTGTTTATTAAAAAAAATAGGTTCAGACCTCTCAAAAAGACTCCCAGAATTGAGTAAAACCAAGCTTTAGCAAACTGATGCACACACACTGTTTGTGCCTATTTTGTATCTGACATGCTTTACATTATCCTGAATGCATTGTGGGATCATTTAATTTTTTTTGTTGTCATGGACAAGTTTTCTATGTCCGATGTTAGTTGTGTTGCACTGCCCTACTACACAAACAATTTCACTGTATGAAATATTAAAAAGGACCACTTGACATTAAGAGCTAACACTTTTGTGGCTCTGTTTTTCTCTTCATTACCTTCACGGTTCGCTTACTTGAGCTTTTCTGTTGAGTTTTTTTCCATTAAATTGTTCTCTTGGCTTCAGTTCCAGTTACAATTTCCAAGCAAATCTTCTCTTCTGTTAGCTTAGCCACTTGTGGTGGCTTTACTTCTCACTTGTTTCTCTCCTGTTTGATCGCTCTGTAGCTGTTATCTCTCATCAGCTGTTCACAGCCACCATCCTTGGTGTTATCAGTTCTGCTCTTGGCCCGCCATGCACCCAGTTTTGTTGGAGTTTCACATTTTACCCACTCTTATTGCATGGTTTTCATCTTCTTTGGACCTCTGAGGATGTGTTTTTGGGTCCACCTTAAAATGCACCGCCCCTGTGATTGGGCGTTGAAAAGTACTAAACATAAGAGCTTTAGAGATGATCTTTTTAAATTGTTTTAAAAGTGGTAATAGTGGATTCCAAAACCAAGTGCCCCATCTCTTTAGCCAGCAGATGAGGGTGCGGCCGGAGGCGGGATTTGAACCCCCGCTGGAGGACGTCGGCGGCTGTTATTGGCTCCCAATGCCTGTCCAAAAAAAAAAAAAAAAAAAAAGGAAAAGTGGCCTTGCCCTTTAAAAGCTCGTGCTCTTCTTCCCTTCAACTAGTCGAAAGTTGATTCTGACAACCGAAAAGGGGACCCGTGTTTGAGGATATCACATAAATCACAAGGCTGCAAAAATGGTCGACAAATTTGTGGGGACATGGAGGATGGTTTCCAGCGACAACTTCGATGAGTACATGAAAGCACTTGGTAAGATGATGTGTGTTTGAAGCTAGTTGTGAGGGAGGCACGCGCCCCTCGGTCACTAATTAAGAGTTTATGGGGGTGTTCTGCGATTTTAAGTTTAACTTTAATTTGAATAAATTGACCTTGAGGTTTCTATAGACTTCGTCGGTAGAGTTTGTCTTTTATTTGAATTATTTTTAGAGTTTAATTATTTGTTTGGGAATGTAAACTAGCATGTCGGAGCTTATTTGACTGCTCCCCCCCCTCCCCCCTCCCCGCTCTGCAGGTGTGGGATTTGCAACCCGGCAGGTGGGAAACCGGACCAAGCCCAACTTGATACTGACGATGGACGAACAAGGGAATGTTTGCATGAAGTCTCAGAGCACCTTCAGGACGACCGAAGTCAAGTTCAAGCTCAACGAGCCCTTCGAGGAGACGACCGCGGACGACAGGAAGACGAGGGTTAGTGTGGCCTGAGGAGGGCAGCGGGTCTGGGGCTCTGCCGGGCAGCATTTAACTTCTTCTCTGCCCCGCAGACCGTGATGACTATGGAGAACGGCAAGCTTGTGCAGAAACAGAGCTGGGACGGCAAGGAAACGAGTATCGAGAGAGAGATCTCTGATGGGAAATTGATAGCGGTAATATAGCATCTCTTTAGGAAAACTAATTTATATAAGTTGTAGTTAAATTTGGTTTGCACATTTGAGTTGGAGACTGACATCTACAGAGAAATGACCCTCCTTCTATGGTTGCCATGTAACACTAAGAGTTTGACAAGATTAAAGCAATATTTAAAAAAAATAAAAAAACTGAGCAGGAGACTTTGCTCCTATGCAGACAAGTGTCTACAACATAGAGCTGTAAAAGGCCTCTCTCTATGGGAGCTGTAGCTCAGAGTGCTTCCACATTTCTTTCTTTCTTGACTTCCCTGCTGTTATTTAAATTGTTTTTTCTCCCACAGAAATGTATCATGGGAGACGTGGTCGCCGTGCGGACGTACGTAAAGGATGCATGATGGCGCTCCCTGGCTCGCACGTCGGATGTACTGCTGGATGACGGGCTCAGTTCAATGAGCGCAATGCTGTGTTCTGCTTCTCACCCCCCCCACCTCCCCCCATTTCTCATCGCTGTTACCAAAGTCGTATCTGTGCCTCTTCTCCAACATGACTCTCTTGGGTTCATTTGGATTTGTAGTGGTTTGAATAAAAACTGATGGAAAAATTTGTCAAAACGCTGCTTCTGAATTTTTTTTTTTAACGCCTGTGGTTGGTCAGTAAGTTCGACACGCAGATTTAGTGGTTCCTCTTGAAAGCATTCCAGTTGCTCAAGCATGCTGAGGAGTTGGCTTAAAAGGGGCTCTAATGGGAACATTCCACTGAATCTGACAAGCTGATTTCCTGACATTAATCGGTGGTGAATCTTTTTTTTTTTTTCTTCCCCCCCCTCCCAGCTGATTTCACATACTTTATGCTTTGAAGACATAAGCAAAAAAATGAACCCCATCTCATGCTGGAAGGTCCAAAAGCAAATGGTCAAGTCCATCTGTGTGGCAGGGGGTTATTTTTTTATTTTTTTAACATGAACTTTGCAAGCATCCAAAAGGTCACGAGGGAAATGTCTCCCACTTTCCTTTTTGGGAGGCTCAACATTTCCCATTGCACGCGTTCTGGCAGCTTGTACAGTACATGCAGATGGAGGACATGGAAAATAAATGGCCCAACAATCTCCCCTTAAGACATCCCCACCCTTTGGCTTCTGGACAAAAAGTTTTTATTATTTATGGAAGATTGTTCGAGGGACAACAAGCACTTTCCCATGACGGGAAAAGGGAGACGACAGTACTGATTGGACCTAATGGCCAAAACAGCTGAAGCAGGTGGAATTATTCCATTCTGCCTGGACAATAGAGCTGGCAGCAGTCGAGGACGTACAGTGTTTGAGCTTCTGGGAAGGTGCCAAGACAATGGAAATGGAACGTGGACGGCCAGCAAAGGTCAACATGTCGAATCACTGTTTTTTAATGCCTCCAACGTTGTTTTGATTAACTTAGTGTGGCTCGCCGCTCCGGTTTTGGAAACTTGATTGCAATGAAGCGTGTGTATACGTTTTTATTTGGATCTTACATCATAAAGGAAATTCGTTGCTTCCCTTTTTTCTCCACACAGCATTTTTTTCTATTCAGCAACCTGAAGTAACGCATTTCAGATAACCTGCAGAATGGGAATGTTCCTTTTTGAGCAAGCTGGTTCTTGGTGGGATACACCATATAGCCAACTCTTGGGTTGCCCAAATACTTAATATAAAAAAAACATACAATTCGGTTAAAGACGGAACCTCATTTCCACCCTTCCACAGAGAGACAGCAACACTTCAATGTGTGGTGTGGTCGGTGTAAACTGAATCCAAGAAAATAAATGGTCTTGAAAAGAGAAACTCAACATTATATTAACATTTCTGTATTGCTTGTTGCAAAAGGGTTTGCCAAATTAACATAAGTGTCCCAAATACATGAACTTAGATCTCAAACTCTGAAGAGTTTTTGCTCTTGTATCAATTTTATGTGTGAACTCCTTCAAAATATATGACTTCTGAAGCTCGGGGGGGCGGGGGGGGGAGCCTCCTTGCTTATGTCTTCAGTCTATTGGGAGGGGGGCTGCTGTTCAGAAGGTTTTGGATACTGCCTTCACATCTTAAAAACACCCCAAAAGCACATCTGCTGTGGATTGACTTACAGGTGCACTGCTTGAAAGTCCGCAGGCATCCACATCGCTCTGTTTGGACAACTGCGGGGAATACGGCAGATCTCCTCCTCTCTGTTTTGGCCCTGACATCTTACATCGGCGGCCCACGGCTCATCCTAAGGAACTGGTCTGGAGCCGTTCAAACAGCGGTGGGGGAAAAATAAGCCTCACATTCTGAAGGCAGCTCTTGGAGCACTTGGACTGAGCTAAGACTGAAAACACAATAAGCTTTGTGGTTCTGAGTTTGACAGAATTGGATGGTTTTGACCATCTAAAATAAACAATATATACTTGTTTTCCCCCCCAATGCTGCCTGGTCGTAGTTTAACGACGGTTAAACTGTTTGACATGTGTCTCGGTCATTTTTTTTCCATATGATGTCCTAAAAAAACTTGCACGACCGACGGACAATGACGTCCAGTCGGCACCAAGGCTGTTATTTCTCGAGAGAGATGGTCTTGGACCTCGGAGGAATGAACTCACATCCTTTGCAGAACATCTGGAAATCTCCACATGCGTTGCAGTGTTGACACCCTTCCTCTGCTTGTCCCCCGTTTGGCCCGAAGTAAACTCTAAAAGCTAAAGATGCGTGCGTGTACCGAATGAGCTTCGACGCTCACAATCCATGTTCCTGACCGGCTGTCTGGTTGTTATTTTGTTTACGCTGAGGGGGGAGATGCGTCCCTGGAGTGGGTCAGTGTGATTCATTGATGGCCCACATGTTGGAAGGCTTGTAATATCCGAGTAATGTTGTGTCTGGGTTGTCAAAAATCTCAACAATGTAATCTGGAACGCAGAGAAAAAAAGCAGGTTGAAATTGTTCCTTTTTATTTTTTTCATGTAAAGTGCCATGCTGACAAGGAAGGTTAAGAAGAAAACAATTTACAGAGGAAGCCATAATTTGCCTTATTGGTTACACACCCTTTATTTTAAATTAGAGCCATATTTCAGCAGAAACAGACCAGACAACTCTTTGTAGATATAGGATTATTTGAGTATAAAAGATGTTTCTAGTTCTAGTTTTACATCCAAATGAACAAAAATATTAATCAGAAATCTAACTTGTTGAGTCTCTGTGGTTTAGTTTGAAGGAAAACTGATGCAAGGACGCAACAAACAGGCTTTCCGCCTGAGTTTGCAACGTAAATCCAGCCCCGACTCAATGTTTTTCCATTTAGGGTGCTCCTGAAGGGCGGGGATGGCCTTGGGGTCAGCGTTCCCTGCTCTCAAAAGAGATCCTCTGTGAAACGGGCCTCCACAAAATCTCATCTCAGCTCTCCTCCGAAGGAGCTATCCGTCACGGAAGCTGACCTGATATCTGTCTCCCGAGCAACTAAACAGCTTGGCAGAACAATGACGCCCCATCGAATACTGGGGAGGTGGTTGCTATGCGACGAGATTTCTCTTCACCATTCTTGCAGTCAGGCCACATAATCTTACAGAAATGCAGAATCCCTGCGTGTCTGTATGCATGTTGGAGATTGCCATGAGCAGAGTCCCACTGATACAGTCAGATCCTCAGTCAAGACCACTAAAAAAAAGTTCTGTCACTTTTTTATGGCCCGTAGATTTGTCTAAAAGTGTTTCAAAAATACCTTTCTGTGCTCTAGTTTTGCCTTTGGTTGTTCTGTATTTCTATCCCCTTATTCCCATTCAAAACTGCCCTTACCCCAAAGCAATGGAATCCAACTTCCCTCCATCCTAAATCCTCTTTGCCTGCATGGATCGAGTTAACAAGCCTGCACAGTTTTGACCAAACATTGAAAAGAAAGTATTGAATACACTCTTAGCAGGTCGTTTGTGCTATTCTTTTCACTCATTATTTTGTCCGGAGAACAAAAAAGCTTGGTTGTGGAGATTTGCTTTCCAATGGAGCATCATTGCAAGGTTCATAGACCAACTTGAACACCATCTTTGCTGTATTCACAACTTTAAAGTTATGCGTTTTCTGCTTGTGGCAAAACAGACACAACAACACAACTCTCTGACAGAGAGTGTTCTCACGATTATGGAACAGTTAAAAAAAAAAACTGTGGAGTACTGTTGATTCAGAAGAAGAGAGTATTTCAACCTAAAGTTTCTCAAGGACTCTGAAGTGTATATGAGGAAGGATATTTTTGCTTTTGAGAGTCCCACACAAATAAATCTGTGTTTTTCAAGTCTTACCAGCAGGAGTTCCTGTCAAAGATTAGTTTGGAGTGAGGCCCCTGGAAGAGATTGTAAAGCAAAGCGGAAGGATGATGGAAATCTTTAAAGTGACACCATTCATACCAGGCCCTACACAATAGCTCCCCCCAAGAGAGCAGTTCAAACCGCAGCTTGAACTATTGGCTTTTGAATACACACAAGCACCACCGCATGCCTGTTCTTTTGTCTCTGCTGTGTTTTCGACTCATAAACTGATTGAAAATGCCAAGAGAGCTTTTAAAAGTTGGGGAATGTTTGCGTTTTCTGCTCTGAATGTGGCACAATTCATAAGCGCCCCTCCTCCAACTCCTGTGTGACAGGGCATGTGATTTATAATCTGGAGGGGGTGATAGTGAGAGTTGGGGATCACTGAATGGAGTCATATTTTAAATAAGCGCACTTGTGTGAATAGATGTAATAAAGCAGGTGGAAAGTAACATTATAGATTACCTCTGTTTGAAGGAGCGTTTTTTAATGCTCCGATCCTAGAAACTAATGGCTGGGTACCATGCGGAGAGGTTTGTTTCATGGCCACAGCGTGACCGCCTTGAAAGGAACTTCTGTGAAGGAAAACTAACTTCAAACACAAAGTCATTAGAGTAAAACCATTTAAACAAAAGATGGAAACATTTGAAAGTGCTGCACAGAAGAAAAAAGAAAAGGAAAATGCTAAATGTTCCTGTAGTTCCGCCACAATGAAGGTTTTGGAAATCCTTGAAACCTATTTTTTTATTGCCCAAAAAGAGCCACACTACTGAGTTTAGGTGTGGAGGTAGACATTACTACCAGAGGACAGATTTGCCCTGTCGTGCCAGACAACACAGCAAAGCGGTCCACAGCTCAAAAAGGCGGCACAAATCTGGTGAGATTTCAAGGCGTTCACCTGGAAAAACTGACGGAGAGTTACGGTTTTGTTGTGGTTTCTGTGCCATGAGCATGCACTCGCAGACATGCTGACCTTCTGCTGCAGGTGGTATGGCTGAGCAGTGTTGATATTTTCACTGTCAAACTATGCGGTTTGTCTGCTCTGGTTTCTTTTTCCAAATCAAGTAAGTTTTTCCAGTTTGTGGAAAGCTTTTATTCAGTGGAATTAGAATGTACGCAGTGGCAAAGTTTTAGGTAAATTATACAGTAAATTATTAAGTTATCCAAAGACAAATTGGGAAGAAATTAAAGGTGATGGACTAGAAACAGCTGTATATTAAATATCAGAGTGGAAATAAAGTTCTTTATCCTGAAAAACAACAACCTAATCAAAGAATTGCATCTTTCATTAATGCTGCCTTGGATACTGGCTGAGGGGAAAAAAAAATCATGATTCAGTTATACATTTAGCAATTGTAAAAGTAAACCATTTGCAGAGCAAAAGGTTTGCTTAATTTGATTGGGGGAAAAAAAGTTAAGTCCTTATGGAGAATCGTGACAAAACAAAACAAAAACAATGAGAAAAGTTGGCTTGATAGACATTTTGCAGTGTGAAACAAAGACACACACAGTTCCCGACAATGCGCTGGACAGATAACCACGGCCTCTGATAGACAAGGGGGAAACGGAAGCCACTGGACACAGGCTGACCTTTCTTTAAGTTGCTCACCGACTTCCAGCATTAACCCAAAGACTGAACCTCTCTCAATCCTGCAGGTAGAATTGATCAAATCCACACAAAAGCCAACTTTAAAAAGATAGATGACTGTAGCATAACGTACACACAGAGGTACAACTCCCAAACGTTTAAAGCTATTGCAGCTATTTGCTGGATCTCTTTTTTTTAAACACAAAAAGTATCTGTGTAAAGCATTCGTCTGAGGGCTGTGGGTTTTACAGCTGTTTCAGTCAGCGGCCATGGGAAACTCACCAGGAAAGAACATTGCCGCCGGGCCTGTAATGCACAGCTGCACATTAAACAAACAAGCCCCCCCCCCCGTCTGTGTCCACTCTTTTGTTAGCTCTTTGTCTTGTCAGGCACCTTTGATGAGGGTAAAGAAAAGCAGAAGCGAGCAAAAGTAAGCATGTGACCAAAAAAAAAATGAAGGGTTACTGCGGGAAAAGGATGAGACATCTGAGGATGAATTTAGACTACTGAGAGGGTCAAAACAAAGGATCTACAGAGTTGGTTAAAAGAAACTGTGGAATTGAGTTTGATGTTTAGACAAAATGCAAAGAACTACTGCCACAAGACGAAGAAGAGCATTTTGCTGGGCGGGAAAAAAGAAGTTCCGCGGTTAAAGTGGATGAAAAAACCTCATCCCGGTGTGCCGGCAGCAGGGAAAAGGACATAAGAACCACAGGAAATAGAGAGAATTAGGTGAGGGATGAATTAGTCAGGGGTGGGAATTTGCCTGAACCAGAGCCCACTAGGAGAGAAGTTGGGCGGCTATTCTTCCCTTGGATGTTTCTTGTCAGAGCTCCAGGGAAGCAGACATAATTCATTTAATTGGCTCTCACAGTTACACTTAACACTTAGCGGGATTTTTTTTTTTCCTTTTTTTATAGGCCAAAGGTAGCAAGGACTTTCCTCTGCAGCCACAGCCAATGAAGGTTTTGTTCCTATTCTAAACGAAAACAGACAAATTGCATTTACAGGATCAGAATGACGTTATTATTACATGCTAAATTTATAAGATAAAAAAAACAAAGCCGACTATAGAAGAGATCAACTCTTCGAACATTCATCTCAGGATGAAATCCATTAATTTAATAGATCAATCCTATTCTAGACTGAAGGAACAGCCCCAGACAACATAACACGTAAAAATCCAGACAAATTTGTGACCAAATTACACATAAATCAGACGCCTTTTTCCATCCTCTCAAAACAGGATGTCAGCGAACCCTTTCCCCACATTCTCGGGATGGTTGACGAATGCTTTGTTCACTTCTTTAACCTGTGACCCAGTCGGGACTCTCTGAGTGCCAAATCAGTGTGCTTTAACCTTTGTCTGCAGTGAGAGCCCAAACCAGTGCGAGTTTAACGGCTAAGGATGTAAAAAAAAAAATAAAACAGAAGCCACGGCTCATGCTCCCGTGTTTTCAAAAGTGAAACTTTAGCCAGTGGACTTTCTGACAAACTTATCTGAAAAATATAATTCGAAAGTGTCACTGCTTTTTGTAAGGGTTTGCTAATCGATGTAGGCCAGGACTAGTGATTGGCTGCTGTCCATGGGAATCTTATTCAAACTGGGAATGAATTCCACACGCATGTGGGAGTCAATAATTTGAAAACCGAGCTGACACTTTTGACAGCTCATCTGTCTGAAATGATAATACTCTTATCTAAAATTCTGGATGTGTCAGCAGCACAGTTAAGCCGCACATGTAAAAACTAAATATACAAACATAATCTGAATATGAATTCTGTTGGATTGGCTCCAATTTGTGTGAAAACAGCAGGATTTTCTTCAGTCGAAACGCCCACATAGAAACAAGGTACTCCTTCTCAAGTGTGACACCCCATAGAGTATCAATTTAAAAGCTCTGAGATACCTTGAAACCACTGAGAGTTAGTGTACTGATGGAATGATAAAGAGGAACATTTCAAACCTTTGTTTTTTATTAATTAACAAAAGACTATTCTGGCTTTGTCACACTGTCCCGGTGATGTTTTGTGTCCAAGTTGAGTTGGAAACAAAAAAAAAAGGTCCAAACTGGAACCGGTTGCACAAAAAAAAACCTCGGATCGTATGATGACCTTGTTCCATCGGAGCATGTCTCGGAACATGGTACAACATCCTGTTCAGACAAAGCAGCTTTTTTTCGGGAACTCTGTGAACCCAGCGTGCTCTTTAGGCCAGCTTAGACCACTCTTTGGTCTGTCTCACGTTCGCCGGTATCCGTAAACCGTCTGACAGGCGTGGACAAAGAGCCAATAAGCTGAAAAGCTTCTTTTCAAAGTGTGTTGCCATTTGTGGGAGTGAGCGTGTTTGCTTGACAAAGGATGATTTGTCTAGGAAATGTACAAATATAAAGGAAAGGCGAAACAAGTATTTCCAAATCACCCATATATTCATTCCAAGTATCTCATGGAAAATTTCACAAAGGAGGTCAGGTAACATATTAGTTAGTACTGTTGCTTTTGGCAAATCTCTCCCAGGGCCATCCTCCATGCATGTGTAGTTTCTCTTCAGGTACTTATTCGTACATCCCAACATCCAAAACATGGACGTTAGTTTAACTGATTATTCTCTTTGGGACTTGGACAGCCAGGTTAGCTTCCAGTTCTGAGTTGGATTAAGCTGCGATACCAAATAGATGGATGTCAAATGCCAGGTCATTCTGAATTTGATTCCAGCAACCAAAGAGCAGCATCTGCACATGTTTTTTTTCTTTTATCAGCATCAGTCTGTAAACATCTGGAAGCTGATGAGAACTTCAACACAGATACACACACACACACACACACACATACACGCACACCACTATAGCCCACCATAATCCTACCAGGTTATTGGGTTTCCATAGGGGTCAGCATTTGTCGGACACAGCTTTTATTTGGACCTGATTACATTTGGGCACAGTCATCGTGTGGCCTCTGTCGACCAGGATAAGGCTCATTGGCGTCCGCCTCACTGGCTCCATTCACCAGGCCCGGTACAATCATGTAGAGCTGGCAGAGCTAACACCTAACCAAAAGAGCCAGGCCAGCCCAGTCAGCAAATACAATGCCCCACTCCCCCCTTTAATCGAAGCAGGGCGGGGGGGCAGAGTAAAATCTAGAGATGAAGAAGACAAAGAAAGAATGTGAGACACATAAGTGAACAGGTCCTGAAGAGGGGAACAATAAGAAGAGAGGGAAATGATGAAAAGAAGACAGTGCACATCAGAAAATAAATCCAAGATAGTTTTTCTTAAAGAAAATTACCACTGGGGCTGTTTAAACTGTTGAGAGTTTCTGACTCCATTGACTTGTTTAACCTGTTACTTATTTGTCACTTAGATTATATATTTTGAATCATATATGTCCCATTTTTTGCCTTCATTATTTACATCTTACATTTTTTTAAAAGTATTTTTAAATACACTCACAGAAAAAAACATGTTGACCTGCAACACAATAAAAAAGAGGAAACAAAACTTGGCGTAATTAATATATCTTTATTACATAAAACTAAAGAACAAATTAATAAATAAATCAGAGGATTCTGATAGTTGAATTTCACACAAATAGAATGTGATCAACAGGCCTCTGCTGCTCTCTTGTGGAAAAGTCTGGTAGGTTAAACTCATCCGGTTAGAGCACTTTCCTTCTCTCCTATAATTTGCCAGAGATAACACTCCAATCCAGACAACGTATAACCTGGTGAGGATCACATCATCAATTCTCCAGTATTTTGCCACGCATTGACATGTAGTGCAATAAACAAAAAAGGGACACAGAGAATCCTTGTGAAAACCTCTGTAACAAAGTGGCTTACTGATCAACTGAAAGGCAGACACTTCATCTGGTCTGTCTCAGGGTTGTGTGGCTCAGATATTGGTCTGCAGCATAAGAGTAACACAGATGACTGTACTCTGGAAGAGGCTAAACCAGTTGTCTTTGTTTTCACACTCTTGTAGGAAAATGCAAGGTGCTGCATTTTTTTGTAACACCTGTGTTGTGGGTAAAGCACACTGGTTTGTGAACAACAGCATCAGCGGTAGTGACCCAAAGAAACTGAATAAACTAAGGACAAATTCTGAAATTGATTGTGTACATATCAGTGGGTTCAGACAAACAATAAGGACTGGTACAGGGAGTCATTCCTGGCAGCAGCTTGTCTCTAACAATGACTTAAAGGGATTAATTCTTGGTGAAATGCACAATCTATGCGCCCCTGTATCTGTCTTTATTTTTTCTTATTTGTATATCTATATGTAGAATCCAGTCCTTCAGTTGTATTCAAAACAACCTACAGTTTCAGGGCATATCAAACAAACTGAAGCATTTGAACATATAGGGAAGACATGACTAGCCCCTTTAAATGGCTCCTACCACTTGTAGCACGGGAGGGGGGATTTACAGGCATTTCGACAACTTTATCACGTCTTTTTTATGTGAAATACGTTGGTTAAGTACTCACTTTATTTTTTTATGCTATTCCTGTGCTTAATTCTGGCTGTGTTACATCTTCCAACTTCCAATAAACCCTCCTCCATACAAACATACCACACTGAAATCGCAGTTTATACCCGCGGAGGTATACCGCGCTGCACCAGTAAACTGCTAACGACTAAAACGACGGATAACCAAACCGTTTAAAAAGCTTTCTCTGTCATGTGAGTTGCCTTGGAGAGTCGGTTAGTCTTATTAGTGACTATGGCGGGGGACGAGAGCTGCGAGGTCTCCGAAAATGCCTTAAAACGACCCGAAACCACCGCCACGACGGAGTACTGCGCTAAGCTGCAGCAGTGGATGTGGCAGTATTACTGGGGCTACGCCGGCTGGCAGAGCTGGCTGTCGCTGTCAGCTCTCCCTTTTTTCCCGCCGTGCGCGGTGGCCCAGACGCCCGGCGACTCTGCCTCGACTTCCAACACCGGACAGGCGGCTTTTGACCCGCGAAGCTGGTACAACTATTCATTCAGCCCTCCTGGGTATTACCCTTCCCCCGCGGGTGGCGACCGGACGGAGCATAGCCCGGCCGCGGCTGCTGCCCGGCCGGCCCAGCAGCAGCAGCAGCAGACCGGGAACCCTCCCCAGGCAGGTGTGGCTGCTCACCGTAGTAGAGCGATGGCCTAGTTTGGCTAAAGAATTTGTTCTCAAATACGAAGCTGGGTCAGGGCTCTAATGACAAGCGGGCTTAACCAAATGTACTCCAGGAAACGAGCTTATGAGCTTATATATCTAATGCCTTTGTCTTTAATCTCTGGTTTCTGTCTGCAGATTTACTAAAGCTTTCTAATGACTTGACAAAACTTCTTTTGAGTTTCCAAATCAGTCTTATATCTGTGTGTGCATCTTTTTTTAAAGGTCGTGAATACACAATCCCCTCTCCTCTCCAGAGATTCCTGGCAGAGACTGTGGATTTCTTCATCCTGTTTTGTGTGAAGGCCACTATTGTGTTGTGGATCATGCACCTTAGTGGTATGAAGTAAGTAAAGCTGTCAAGAAGTGTTACACCTAACACAATTTCTCATTAAAAACTAACGAGTGTATGAAAAATTCCCCCAGAAAATGGGCCGACTGGTTTAAAAGCTGTTAAACGGTTCCCGTTGCCTTTTTTTTTGTTTTTGTTTCAGCTCAGATGATAGTTCCGTAGCTTTGGGACTGATCTCTGCTTTTTCCAGGGACATTGCAAAGTTTATAACCCACTTCATCATCGAGGAGATCGACGAGAACACGTCCATGGAGGACCTGCAGAAGATGATGGCCGTGGCTCTGGTGTACAGGGTCCTGGTGTGCGTCTATGAGGTGAGCTGTGCTCAGGGACTAGAAGACCTAACAACATTTTACACTCACTGTACTATATATTGAATACATGTTGTTCTCAGAATGGTATTGGTTTATATTTTTTCGAGTTTGTGGATCGTCGCTGTTATTTTTGGGAAAGTCAAAATGAGTTTGTCTGTAAATAGAACAGTCACTCTCTCAGCTAAATGAACTGCAAAGGCTGTAAGGTGTTTGATATAAAATAGTTTTAAAATGAACTCAAATAACCCAGTTTTATCACTTATGAGCTATTTTTAAATCGGACATGTTTTTCGCAGTGTAAGACTCTGTAAAGGTTCGGGATCACATCTGAAACCAGTCGTCTGTGGACCTGGTTTACTATTGCATCAATGTGTCGTAGAACTCAACCGAACAGAAAAAAAAATACCCAGAAAGTACTCAGAAACTCTTTCGGCCGGAGCTGAAATCAGCAGGGCTGGAAAAAAAAACTAACTAAAAGCAATGCAAAGTTGTTGTTCTTTTTTCTGTAAACATAGAAAATTCTATGTGTGATTTGACATGTTAAGCAGAAGCTGCCTCACCTGCACGCTCCTGTTTAATGCGAGAAATAAGGCGGAGTCTGCTCCGTACAGCACAACATTGTTTTCCATTGAGGAGAGTGATGCAACGCTGCGTTCATAATTGCCTGAGATGAAGTCATGGATCATGTCTGTTGTTGGACAGACAGCCTTGTATTCCCGGGTGGGAAGGGGCGCTGGGATCACCACAGCTCAGACTGACGCCATATGCATGTTTCATTCTGTTTCTGAGCTTTTTCAGTTTTTGTTGGGTTTTTTTTTTGTCACCAATTAGGCTAATTTGAAAGATTTAGCAGGAGAACGGTGGGAAAAGTGACTTATCACATTTTTGTTGACTCTTTTTGAAAGATTTCTTACTCAATACTCTAAACCCCTATGTTTTTTTAGTTTTTTTTTTTTTTAAAACAAAGAAAATACTGACAAATATTTATCGCTCTTGCTGTCGCAGACAATCTGTATTTGGGGTGCTGGTGGAGCCACTCCGGGGAAGTTCCTGCTCGGTTTGCGGGTGGTCACGTGCGACACCACCACTCTGGTTCGACCCAACCGTGTCCTTGTGGTCCCAGCATCTAACGTCTCCCTCTCTGCGTGAGTGGTCTTTAACCATGTGATTTTCTTCTCTTTTTATTAAAGTGTTTCTTTTTATAAGTTAACTTCAGATGAATGATCAGAATCGGCCCATATATTAGGGTGACCAAACGTCCTCTTTTGCTCGGACATGTCCACTCTTTGCATCCTGTCCGAGGTGTCCAGAGGGGGATTATAAATTCTTGAAAATGTCCTGTTTTCACTGTTTTTCATGGGGCCATAATCGTATGCCTAAATCGACTAGCGCTTTGCACAAAATACGACGGTACGTTGTTGCCCAGTGTAATTCTCGAGGGGCTGCCTTGTGGCAGGGTCTAGTGAGACCCCCCCCCAACACACACAGGGAGCAGAGCAGCCAGCATTGGAGACAAAATGCCGAACCAAAAGTGCAGCTTCACAGGCGAAAAAAGTTTCTAATACAGAAGAGGTCATATTCATAGCATTATTTGATTTAATTTCTGTATTTTAAATGAGGGCTATCACTTTGTTACTGGCTGTTACAGATGTTTCACTACCGAAGCTATTTTTGTAGCATAAAGCATGTTCATTAGCATCTGAGAAGTCTGTCTGAATCCGTCTCGAGGCTGGGCAGTGTCTTCCTCTTTGGAAATCAAAATATGGTCACCCTACCATATATGGACTCTGGTGGAGGACACATTCCTATATGAAAGTGTAAAAATTTCATTTAGGAATGCTCACAAATGGGAATACAGATATCTTATTTGAACATATCAGTATTTTAGCTATTAGACCAAATGGTCCCTATTTGCTTCCTGAAAGATCATATTCACTGCTGTTCGTTACCATGATGGGCTTTATTTGTATAGTTAAATACAAGTAAGGGATTGTGTGTCCTGATTCAAATTTTCCTCCTCTTTAAGGAACATTTGACTGTTTGGGTGGTAGCACCATTTTTCTGAGTTCTTACACTGTCCTGTCTTCTCCTTGATATTCACAGTTCTACAGTGCGGGCACTGAACAAGAACTTCTCCATTGCTTTCCTCTTTCCCGTTTTCATCACGCTGCTCTTCTTCCAGCACAACAGGACTGTTTACGACATCGTGGCGGGGACCATAGTTGTCCAGCGCAGAGGGGCCAGATAGCCTCTCCTCTGACAGACTCACTTCACTTTTTAGCGACAGAGTACAGCTGTCCCGAGAATTGATCTAAAATCTGATCTATTTGCACTGCAGAGACTAATGTACTGGCTCCTGACGTCACTGGAAGCAGGTTGGACCGCACTTTAAAATGTACAGATTTTTAAAGGCGTCATGATTTTGACTATGTTCAGTAATATGTATTTTTTATTGAAGAGAATTCAGTTTTGATAACTGATCCAACCGATAAGCTTTTGGGGAACCCTCTGAGGTATTGTGAGTTTAATTTTCCAACTACATTCAGCCCTAACAGCATTAAAAGGTTTTGTCAAAAAGTCCAGACAGGTGTCCTCACACAATGAGGAATATAACATGGATATGAAGTCACGAGAAAAGGTTTCCTTACATTTTGGAATGGTAGGATTTGTTAACCTGTAACTTTGCTGACCTCTAGTGGCTGAAGCAGAGAGAATCAGAAGCTATCCAGCAGTCAGTTTGACCAAATTTTCTTTTATTATTCTTTTCGTCAAGGAAATATTGGCAAGTTAAAAGTTTGGTCTGCTGAATTTGTAACATTGTGATTGTCACTTATGCTCTCACGTTGAAGATGAAACCTGGTCAAGCTGCTTTGTGCCTGTTTGAAGTATTGTTTTGATATGGTCAAATGTATCAAAGACTTCTCATGTGGTCCAAATATGTGAAATTTGTCATTTCTATGCCTAAATTCTGTCATTTGTGACTCAGGGCAATTTGGCAATCAAAGATTCTTTTTGTTTTAGTGAATTGTACAAAGTCTTGGCTGTGGTCAGATTTCTACATTTGCACAATGTGAGACTCTCCTGGTATTAAATATTTATGTTTTATTCACACTGTTTCCATTTAATTTTCTTTGACTCATGCTGTGAAAATGGCTGATAGAACTACTGTGTTGTGAAAGCATAGGATTAGAGGGATTAGAGTTTGTTTATGAACTGGTAGAGGCCATTACACACTTTAGTCATAAGAACCTTTTAACAGCAGAGGGCTGTCATATCTATTAAAGCCTCCAGTGACGAACCAACCAAATCAAACGGCCCAAACCCATAACGAGGATGCTTCCCGTTAACAGCCTGCACCCTCAGACATGTCTCTGCTTCATCATGCTGAAAATGGATTTTCACCAAACTCAGAAGTTGCACACAGGGGGGCAGCATAGATCAGAACAATGTAAAGTTCAGATAGAAATGAACAGAAAACCAGTAGTCTCTAACATATCTATGCACATGATCTTATAACTTTTCTCTATAACGTGATAATTACAAAAAAAAATTTAAGAAAATTCCGCAGGCATCCATAAAACAAAACAAACCATTGCTCTCGTTTGTTAGTGAGTTCAAACATGAGCAGCTGTGGCTCCATAATGCTGATCCTCAGTCAGAGTTTGCTCTCCACCATGGTGTATGCAGCCATCTTTTGATTAGGCTTTTGGAGCAGAGAGCATGAGAAATCTTTGGCCCTGGAGCTATAAAGTGAAAATATTCTACTTGGACAGAAATTACACTTCTCGAGAACAGATTTATAGGGAGAACATAGTCATGTTTAGTCACAGCAAAATTAATAGTTGAGTTTGGCCTGTTTAAAGGCTTTAGAGATAAAAGGATTTTGTTGGCCCTCGTAATGCTAGAAGCTCGAGTACGGACAAGGGGGCAACTCTTTTAGTTCTTAGATCTCTCAGAGTAGTAATGTAATATGTGTGTTTGCACTCTGTGTTGCATTAAAAATAAGTAATTTTATACAAATCATGTCAGTTCATGGCAAACAAGAAATGTCCAGTGACTCACAATAAGTTTTTCAACTCAATAGCTCATAATGGCTTTTGGGCATTCCTTGGGGTTCTTTAATTGACTGACAACACTTCACGTTTGTACAAACTGTCTTTTTTTGTGTATCTACACAATAACTTCTAAAAACTAAATCCACCAATCTAAAATGAGTGGAAATGCATAATGAAACACTCTTTTTATTTTTCCTTTCTCATTATTTGCACTGAATGGAAGCACTGCTGATCACAGCAGGTCAGACTCTGTCTCCTTAAATTAAATGTTGCACTTTTTTGTCCAATAACAGGACAAAGGGTCACTGATTCTCCTCAGGCACAGTTTTTTTTATGGAGCAGGTGCAAATGAAAAACTTTTGCCATATAAAAATGGTGCTTTTTTCCCCCCCTATAGGTTTTCCTGTGGCAAACTGCTGAAGAGTTACATTTTTAAGAGCGGCGTTCAACAGAGATTAGCCATGGGCGTCCTATGCATTATTCCCAAGAGATGCAAAGCCTGCTGAGGCTTCCTAAAAATCAGTTTTTAAATAGAAACTTTTAATCAAATGGCTCAATTTCCATTTATTCTTTTCTCCTTACTCCATGTTTTCATCTCTCAAAGCTTGGCCACCAGGAATGATTTAATCACCTTGTATCCTCCATGTGTGATGTCTTGTTCTCACATGCAGATGCAATTTCTCGATTAGAAATTCTTTGTCCTCCATAAATTTTGAACTACTAGTTATGTTAAGTTTGTAAAAAGCATTAAACTATAAAAATGGCCTTCAGGCAAAAGAGAAGAAAATTAGCGTCTCGCTGAATAATCTCTACGCGTGGAAAAACTATCCAAATATTTTGTCAGCCCGTGCGCCTGATTTTGAAAGCTCACCGCCGCATTTTATCCCATCAGTTGCAAGTTTTTCGCTGAGAGTCATAAGTTGTTCTCCATGCGAAGGAACTGAGAGAGGCTCAGCAATAATTATGCCTCCAGTGGCTCCAATACAAATTTTTTTTTTTTTACAGAGACGGGAGTGGAGGGAAAGGAACAGAAGCAGCGAGACACTGAGACAGATTAAGAGGGAGAGACAAAACCCCGGGAGGAAGGAAAGAATTGGAAACAGGAGTTCAGAATGAGGAGAATGAAACCGGTGAGAAGGGCGGAGAGGAAAGAGAAGAAGAAGAATGTGCAGGAGTGAGAGTGAGAGGCTGAGGGACACCGTGTTTGAAAATTCTCTCTGATCTTTGAGCCTTGGGACCAGAGGCACTGGTATACCCCGCAGAACTCCATTAAAATTCAACCAGCTAGACTTAAGCCCTCAGTTATTATACAAGAGATGCCCTGCACAGCTCATCTTTCTCCGTTTGCTCTCTGTCCCCTGAATGCAACACAAACACACACACATGACTCAAACATGGACACAAACTGTGCACGGCATGCCTTCTTTCATTTTACAAAAACATATCTTGGAGCACATTAGATCCGCGGGATCAGTCAGTTTTTTTGTTTAGTCTTTTAAAAAAATGATTTCACAGCCTCACTCAAATCTTTGAATACCCAAATGGCTTGTAGCTCCAGCATAAAGGCACAACATAGCTAACAGGCAAATAACCTTAAAAGTCCGTCCGTCTGCAGTTTTGGGGCCGAGCAGGTAGTGACGGCAACCTGACGGCATCGAGTCTGTGTTTTTCTGACCTTTATTCGTTTGTTTACCCTTAGGAAAGCATCCGCTTCATCTTGAAAACGGCGGGGCTTGAACTAGAAAAGTCAGATTGTGGGCTCGGAAAACAGAGCATCGATGAAAAGAGAAAAATAAAACCCGAAAAGCTGCCCCCATGCAGAAATGAGAGCAACAGCAGGGCCTGATCGTGGTTTTCTATGGAAAACCTGCTTTAAAGGTTACTTGTTGTGTGCTTTTCGCCATTCAAATGTTAACAGGATGATACGTTCAATGTGTTCAGTTGAACTTTTTCTTATGACTTGACTTGAGTCTGCCTGTTCTCCCTGTGTCTCCCTGGGTTTTGGTTGACTCCAAATCGAGTGAATGTCTTAATGCATGGTTGGTTGCGTCTGTTTGGCCCAGAGATGGACAGACGTCCATCCAGGGCGTCCACGGTGACGGACGGTGTAGTCTCCCCCATGGCCATGCAAGAAAATAAGCTGTATAGACAGTGGATGGATGGATATTTTTACAGGTGTTTCATATCCTGAAATGTAGCTAAAAGTGAGAGGACTTAGGATGAAATGTAGCACGGATGCAACAGACTTTGATCAGTAAATATGAATAATACAAATGCATCGGTGGGGCATATAGACGATATACGAATAGAAAGCAAAAGTAAACAATTCCGAAGAGAACAGAAGGACAAAGTTCATGCAGGACTCCCTTTTTATAACACAAAAGAAGTGGACTTTCCATCTTTCAGTGTGAGTCAGTAAACTGGTAACTTCACGAGAGTTTCCACAGTAGGACATTCCACTTTTAGACTGAAATTCACAGAAAACTGCAGAACTGCAACTTCTCTGAAAGAAGAGTTCAGTAAGTTGTGGGTTCTGAGAATCAGAGGAAAGCAGCGGAATGAGAAGTGACACAATCAGGAGACGGTAAATATATGATAAAGATAAATTTGACAATGTCAAGGCAAAATTACATTCGGTTTGGCCTCTGACTGAGCACTGTGTGTGTTTCCCAGCAGAGGGAGTGCCTCCTGAACCCGGACGCGCAGGCCCGAGCTCCTCATTGGTCTCTCGCGGCCCTCTGTGTCGGAGGAGCCTCGGCCAATCGGCGCGCTTCTGGGCCACAAATATCTGAAGTAGTAATAATGTGGAATGTGCTGGCTCGGCGTAAGCTGTCAACTAGAGCATGTAGTACTATACCGCATACCGACGGGGGGGGAGGAGACGAGCGGGGTGCCGGAAGAGGTAAACACTCAATGACAGAGCAGCCTGACCGTGGGCTGTGTTAATGTGTGTATGTGTGTGTGTGTGTGAGTGTGTGTGTTGTAAGCAGCACTGTCAGCTGACACGCACAACTGTGCCCCACCCTTTGTGCCTCTCCTTTTTAAGAGCTTTATTTCCTCGCACCGAGCACACCGTTGTGTAACCTAAACAAACTGGAAATAACTTTAGCTCGAAAAGAAAAGAAAAAGAAAAAGGTTTAGATAATAAGCATTGACATGTACACGCCCAGACCAAACAGTTCGAGATGCAAAGCAGCTGGTTACATGTTGCATGACAGAAAAAACCATCAACCCCTTCAGGGCCTGACGAGCCAGACGTCAGATTAGTGGCTCTGCAGTGGAGCTTCAGCAGGCCCAACACCTGGCCTGCCCTTTGGAGAAAGTATGTACAGAATGCCAGGAGTCTCTCTCGCACAAATAGAGAGAGAAAAAAAAGAAAAGAACAGAACAAAAATCCCTCAGTGTGCACAGATGTGAGTACACTGCGTGTCCATGCGTGTAGCTGGATGCGTGATGACAGATTGAGTGCGAGGCGTCGGAGACAACGGCATGAAGAACAAACGGGGAGGACGGAGTTCGGGGCGTTTCGGCTTAATGTTTCACATGTGGACCAACGGAATACGTTCCCTGTCTCGCTCTGAAAGTGAAGTCATGGACGTGAAATGTTGGAAATTCCCCTTTTCTTTTCCAGATGGCAGAAAACCCAGTCGGATGGGCCAACATGTGGGTCCCGCTTCCAGTAGATTTACAAAAATATTTGGGTTTATTAGGAAGATTTCTGTAAGTTAAAAAAAAAAAACTTATTCTCAACATTTAAGTAAAAGACCAATTTTTTCTACCATTCACTGATATGCACAAAATCCTTAATACTACCTATTTTGTTCCTTTGATTAATAGATTTGACTTTTTGTGGGGAAATGAGTTAATGACATGTGACTTTGTGCTGACAGGGTAAATGAACAGGATGCACTATTGCGTGTCCAGCTCTGTGATGAAATGTACTTTGGCCCCAGCTGTCAGGGCACGTGCAACACTTTGCATCCATACAGACAAAAGTATTTCCAGTACAGTAAAAACCCCACGTTTTCCACAGTAAGGGAATCGTGTACAATCCCTCAGCCACTTTAAACACTCGCACCAAGGCATGCACACACTCACTTGTTTTGA